GCTCCGTAGGTCCTGACTTGATGTTATCTGCCTGCGATTTAGACTCTGAATGTGAAGAGGTGATCCTCTGGCAGGAAACTCTCTAAGTTTCACAGAGATGAGTCGGGCAGATACTAAGAAGCCCCGCTGGAGAGAAGCGCTAGGCTTTATGACATGAAGCCAAAGTCAGATGGAAAACCAAACATAAGACGTTTTACCAACATAATGCATTAGCTGTTACTATGGGAATCGATGAGAAGAAACTTGAGTAGCTCTGGCCTTGTTAATTTCCATTTGGAGTTGCTGTTAATTTGGCTACATTACACATTGCAAACAAGGATCATAATATTTGGATAGGACTTTTCATCACCAAAACTCAAGAAAATTAAACCGTATCTAATGCTTAATAGTATCCTCTCCTCATCCGGGAAAGCAGGGCGCAGAGGAGTTCAATAGACCCCTAGAAGCCCGGGTCCCAGGAAGGCCTTTGGTGATGACTCAGCAGTTTTACTGCAGTTCTCATGGGGACTTTCGTGTTTAATTTGGAGCCAGATAAAGTACAGAAATAAAGTTTTCAGAGTTTTGTCAAAATGTGATATAGTTTCCCCATTACAGTTTGTGTATTTTATTTCTCATTTTTAAGAGATTCTTGGATGACACTGGCTATTCAATGAGAAACACCAAGCTAGTAAGACAGAGTTTTGACCCAAATCATATAAAAACCCTCCAGGGGTTTTCTTATGCCCAGAAGTTGTACTTCGGTGGCAGGACTGATTCTTGTGTGTTCTTCGAAAGCAGTAACTGGTAGCACTGTTCAGCATCAACTATCGGCATGTTCCAGATATGTCCCTGGAGAAGTTTCTTCAAGTTGAAGGCTAGCCTAGTACAAAGGAAACCTCTGTTCATGGCATTTCAGAAACAAAATTACTGATGGACTGAAAAAAGGTGACACCCTTAAGATGACAGATAGCATGACAGTTACAATTGCATTACATTTTTTAAGGCATCATTCTAAAGTTTTTAATGGGTGGTTTTCCAATCCACTGGAACTCTCAAAACGAGATGGCATTCCGAATGCAGTGGGGGGTTTCATCAGATCAGTTCTAAATGAAGCAACACTGGAGTGTGAATGCGAACACAGGACCTAAACCAGCAGACTGCAAAAGGCTCCCCGCACCGCCCCCGCCCCCCCGCCCCATTTTGTTTGTGCACATCCGAATCAGAGGTCCTGGGCTCGCCCTTGTGGGACCTTACCTTAACCAGTTTCCCTGGGAAAGATATTCCACTGTGAAAACACTGTTTCTCCCCTCTCCGTTTCCCTTTCTGCCTTCTCATCTTTCCTTTCTTAAATGAATATTTATTTATTGCAAACCACTTAAGTACCAAACATGGTCCAAGTCTCTTGGGATACAGTGGTGACCTGGGTGGGCTCCGGGACAACGCGTGCTGCCCACCTCCCTGGGGCCTTCCTTCACAAACACCAGGGAGGCATAGAGCCCAGCTTCCTGACCTCTACGGGGATGTGGCTTCGTTGGGATTGTTTCTCTCCCTAGTATGGCTGAGTGAGGACAGGATCTCTGGGTGAGTGTGTGGGACGAGGCACGTGTACGTGTGTGTGTGTGGAGTGTCCAATTCTTAGTCTCCGTTGAGGGTTTTCCTTGTGTATCCTTTCTCCTTCCCAAGTGCCTCAAGCACTGTCTGGCACAGTCACCCCAAAACAGCTGCCGAGTGCCTGGAGACCCACAGGGTGCAAAACCAGGCAGTCGGTGGCCTTCCCAAATGCCCTGCCTCTGTCCTACTAATTTCTGCATTCTAAGGCCCTCAGCATACGTATCTTAAGACGACACGGTTTCTTTCCCCCCCTCTCCTTATTCAAGATCTACAACCTGATTTTTCCTAAATGGTCATCGTCATAAAATATTCACTGATGGAACCGGTTTCTTCCCAAAGGCATTTATTTGCATCTGAACAGGGCAGGGGGATTTGAGGGGTAAGGCTTTCCCCAAACAGTGGCCAAGAGGTGGTATCAGATAGGATCCCCTGGAGTTTCCTGGGGCTCTTGCTCGGGTTTCTAGGCTCCACACAGAGTGTTCAGGGCAACACGTGAGCCTACGCGCAATTCCGGTCTTGCAGCCGGCGGGGTTTCCACTGCACATATTTGTATTACTCATCCTCCAGGCCTGATGACAGCGACAGGTTTAGTCTCTCTGTGACTCTGATTAGCCTTTCCTTCTTCCTCTGTAATCAAGCTCAGATTGCTCCCAACGCAGGACAGGTGGAGCAGGTGAGGAATGTAAGTGTGCCTGGAAAATTCTGCTCCCTAGTCTTTTGGGCTCCTTTTAATAACTCTCTGGGGGGAAAAAAATTCTTTTTTGGTATCTCAGAGCAGCAGGCTGCTCCTCTCCTGTGGCCAGATGCTGCACTCCACACCATTGTTAAATAGTAATAGTGAAACTTAAAAGATGTTCTCTTGCGAGACAACAGGTGGCCACTGCAACCTCCGGCTCTGATTGGTGGAAAGGCCACAGGCGCGCCCAGCGGCCCAGAGAAAGGGCCTCCACTTCTGCGTTTCAAGAACCTGCTCAATGGGGTGTTGTCCTGATAATATCTCAGCTCACTGCCAATTTGTGCAACCTGCTGGGCCATTAGGGAGCGCCGCTGGGTTGTCAGCGTTAAATGGAGGCTTGGGAGGGGAGACCAAAGCTTTTTTGGGGGTGGGGAGGGTCGGTGTCAACCCAGAGACAATGTGAGCAGTTGTTCCGTCCCTGAATACACACTGCTCTCTCCTGCAGTCTCCAGGCACACATTTCTGCTAAGAGAAGAGCAAATACACACACTTTCACCTAACTGAAGTTTATTTTCCTTGCTTGGTTCCAGAAAGATAATATTGGGCCAAGGTACATACACAGGTGACACGGAGCCCCAGTGCCTACTCTGGAGAAAAGAAGCAACAAAAAACCCATGGGACGTCTGTCTGACAAAGTTCAGGCCCTGGGCCAGCGAAGTGCGATCCTGGGGGAAAGTGGTAGCGAGTGTCAGCAAAAGTATTTTGTAAATGTCACCCTTCAGGTACAGGTACCTCCTAAATGACCAAATTGGGGAGGGGTTGTCTGGGCAACCTTCACCCCTTTACCCCTTCAGTCCTTCTGGTTGGTCAAATAGTTGAAATGACACACAGAAGATGAGCGGGAGAAAGTAAAAAATGTTAACACATGTGCATGGGAAATTCACCGAAGCATAAAAAACCCCCAAGGACGGTGAGGTAACATTGGGTACATATGACGTTTTGGACAAAGGAAGGGGAGACAGTCAAACACTTGGTAAGTTCTTGCAGGGCCACCCAGAGACAATGGGACAGACTTTTTGCTTGGATCCTCCCAATCTGCCACCCTTAATTCCTATGTCCCCAGGCCACTGTGCTGTTTCCCTTCCTGAAGCATGTATTTTCCCCCATCTGAACCTCTTTAGGCAGGTAGGGGGTAGGTAAAAACACGCTTCCTGAGTTTGCTGGGCTTTAAGTGTTTTCAGTTCAAAATAGTCTGCACGCTCTGGGGACAGGGCAAATCTCAAAACCTCTCCCGAACGTCCTGAACTAGTGTGCAAGTCCCTTCCTTCGCCAAGGCTGGGGGCCAAACTCTCCAATGAACCCGAAGCCATCAAGGGGGTGGGGGTGGGGGGAGATTAAGTTTACAGAAACAGAGAGGAATGAAGAGGGGGTGGGTAAGCACAGTATGAAGAAGTTAACCACCCGGAACCTTTTAGGAAAATGGGGACATTTTCTCTCAGAGCAGTGAACGATCCGCCTAGATCCAGTTACGCAAATGCCTTCCTAATACAAACAAGAGCAAAGAAAACACGAAGGGAACCGACACGAGGCTTAACCCGGGAAGCCTCAGGTCTGCGTACCTGTGAAAGGTCAGGCCCCGACACCCTACCCACAGGTGTAGGTGGGGTCCCAGCTACGGGGAGATACGCGTGCAGGTTGGCTGCTGCGTTAGGTGCCTCCGAGCAGGGGACGAAAGTGGGGCTGCGCAGGGAGTAGGGGAGGGGAAACCGGGGACGGGCACCCACGAGGAGGAAATGGGGGCGAGGAGAGGAAAACGGTGGGAAAAAAAGGGTGGGACGGAAGCGGACGGCCTGTGGCTGCGGAGGGCAGGAGCTAGGGTCCGAGAGAAGAGGTGGTCGCAAAGGCGGGGGAGGGCCACACGGGGCACGGGGTCGGCGACGGCCGCAGCGGCCGGGGGAAGTAGGGACGGAGGAGCGCTCCGAGGCAGCGGGGACAAAGAGGACCGGAGCGGGAAGAGGGGCGAGGTGGGAAGAGCAGGGGCCCCGAAGAGGGGGAGGCCGAGGCGCGGGCGATGGGGAAGGCGCGGGCTGCGCGGGGCGCGCGGTGAGCGGCGAGGGGCCGCGCGGGGCAGGGCCGGGCGGGGCGGGGCGGGCGCGCCCGGAGGCGGTCCGGGCCGGGGAGCGCACCGGCGGGGCAGGCGGCGCGCCAGCTGCCCGCGGTGGGAGGGGCGGAGCGGCGGCGGCGGCGGAGGCAGGAGGGGGAGAAGGAGGGGAGGGGCCGGGCCCCTTGTCTCCGCGGCTCCTCTCCTCAGTCCGCCCGGGGAGGAGGAGGAGGAGCGGGGCCAGCCGCCGCCGCCGCTGTCCCAGCCTCGCCCGGCGCACCTGAGCTCTCCGCGCCGCCCCGGGCCCGTGCGCCGCGCCCCGCGCCCCCGCGCCGCGCCCCGCGCCCTAGGCGCCCGGCCCGCGCGCAGCGCTGCCTCGGTGTCCCGGCGGGGCGCGTCCCCTGGGCCGCCTCCCGCTCTCCCGCGGCTCGCGTGGCCGCGCCTTTGTGTGCGGCGGCCGCGGCTCCCGCGGCTCCCGGGCTCCTCGGGATCCGATTGCGGCGCTCCTCCGGCCCGGAGTCCTGCGCGCCGCCCCCCGGACAACCCCGACCGGGCGCCCCTGACGGTGGATCTAGCGGCTTCGAGGAGGCGGGCACCCGCCCCGGCGAGCCCCAGCCTCGGCCCCTGGCCCCGGGCCCGGCTCCGGCATGGATATGAGGTTCTACCCCGCGGCGGCGGGGGACCCCGCCGGCCTGGACTTCGCGCAGTGCCTGGGGTACTACGGCTACAGCAAGGTGACCGGCCCGGGCCGGGGGGGCGGCGCGGCGGGGGCCACCTCCCATCCCGGGCGCGCCCCGCGCTCCAGCCTACCGCCCGCTGCACTTTCTTTCCCCTCTCCACTCCTTTCCCTTTGCTTCTTCATGTCTGTCCGACTCTGCCTCTTCCCTTCCTGCCCCCTTCGGCCCCCACCCGCCTTTCCCCCTTTTTGTCTCTCTGCCGGCACTCCCCTCTCTCTGCCCCTCTGTCCTCCGCCTCTCCTCCCACTGTCCCCCTCGCCCCCCCCCCCACCCCGCCACCGACTCTCCTTTCCTGCCCCAAAGAAGCGAGGAGCAGCCCGAGACTGAAGGGGATCTTGCGTGTGATTCTTTGTTGTTGTTATTAGTAAACACGACCTTAGCCCCCCCTTGGGGGGTGCGCAGGAGCCCCGGAGCTAGCGGTCGGCTGACCTCGCCACCCCACTCCCAGCCCCTCTCGCCTCCCCCTACGCTACGAGAGCTGGACCCCGGCCCGCCTACCGAAGGAAAGGAACAAACTTTTGAGCGTGCCCTGGATGGGGGGGGGGGGGCGGTGAGTGGTGGGACCCCCGCAGGTGGCTTTCGCTACCCGCTTGTAGGGCGCCTTGGACCACGGAACAGAGCTGCCCACTCCTCTCTGTTAGCACTAGTGGTTTCTCATCTTTAATTTTTGGGGGGAGGGGTAAGCTTCGCTTTTGGGGGAGATTCAGGTTGGAGACCTGCACGCCACGCCCTGGGGTACCCCACCTTCCCCTGCGCATCTTCGAGGACCGAGCGTTTCTCGTGGCCGAAGGTGGATCTCGGAGGGTGGCCGGCGCAGCTCCGAGGGGCGAGTTGGTGCGGGAGCCGCAGCCCTCCGTCCAGGGCGGCGCAGCCTCGCGGTCACCGTCCTTCCCGACGCCCGCAGGGCCAAGCTTTGGAGGGAGCAGCACCCTGAGAGCGATATTCAGAGAAAGAACTGTGCCCCGGATGGCTAGTGCCTTTTGAACGTGGTTTTCCTTTCCCCTTCCTCCCCCTCCCGTCTCCCACCCCCCTTTTTCTTTCAAATGGTAGTTTGTTTATGATTGCTAGGATAACAGAGGAGGAAATAAAGAGTCTGTCCAAAGAAAGGTGCCACACAACACTAATGAATAAATAGCAGGAAGAGGAGGAATTGTCTGGCGAGTGAGGAGCAGCTTGCTGTGCCCCGTGGCTGTTCGAGCCTCGTGTTCCTGCCTATTTGTTTATACTCCGTGCCCAACTCCAGTGCTGAAGTTTGTGAAAGACCTTTGGGGTCTCTCTTCCTCACCCCGTGTCATCATCGCCCCGTGCCTGGCACCGAAGGGCCTCCCCGCAAATGTAGAAGGAAGGGACATTACTCAAATGTGTTTTAACCCTTTGGGGTTGGGGGCGTTCATGCGCTCCAAATTCCGAGAGTGAGACTTAAGCACAGAAAGAGAAGGCCCTGTAGCCAGAGTTAAGGGTGAGTGTCAGGCCTTTGACTTTGACTTCACTCGGATTATTAAATGTGTTAAAAAGTCCCCCGTGCCTGCTCAGTTAGGGACTGGGCCGCCTAAGTAAGTACGCAGTATTTCTGAGACCCCCCACCTAATTGTTCCAGGGGGGTATTATTTATCTCCCTACAACCCGGCCTGTGCGCAAGCCAGCCTTGTGTAACTGGGCAGGCAGGCTCTTATTTTGGGAAGCCATTACCTTGCCTAATGTAACTCCTCTCTCCGATTTAAGATCAACACTCGAATGACACCAAAATAGAAACCTTTTGTACTAATCCAGTCACTGCGATGCGTGGCCAATCTCTCTGTTCACTAGGACCCCAAGGGTGCTTCAAGGGACCAGAGGAAATTGTGGGTGTTTTGTGTGTGTCTCTTTTCATTTTTTGAGAAAGGCTATTTTGAGTCCATTTAAACTCAGAACATTTATTTCAGGGAGGGTGTAGAAAGCTGAAAGACAGACATTATTTATTGAGATGCATGTTTAACTTCAGGAGTGAGAATGCAAGTTGGTTTACTCTCGTATTTTCTGAATGCAGCTGTTTGCCTGAAATAACTTGGTTTCTTGGTAATTCAGCATTCTGGTCGTCTGAAGTGCTGTGTGTACCCAACTCAGGAAAGGTAGACACAGCGTTCAGTATTGGTAGGAATCAAATTGTACTTATTTTAAGGCTTGTTTGCACGTACTTCCTTGCAAATAAAAAAACAAACCAAAACAAAACAATAACCTTTAAACTGAGCCACAAAACTATATTTTCCTACTCTTCATTTCACGAGTGAAAAACCCAATTTTATTCCTTGTAATTTTTTTTTTATAGGGAGAATGGAGTAGAAGAGGAAGTATTAACTTTATGGGTATAAAACAGCAAGTGCTAATTAAAGGTTTATAGCGTTTGTTTCACAGCTAGCTTGTGCGTCTGAAGTAGAGCTATTCAGCATGGGTTTACACTGAAAATGTAAAAACTGGCTTACAAAGACATGCATTTATTTTATTTGAAAACACCTGTAATCGTTAATCTCCTGAGACTTAAGTCTGACGACATGTATTATCTTTCTGGATGGGAAATGATGGATTTCAAAGACAGTAGGTTTCGGCCCTTTCTTGTTTTAATGACCATCTGGGAAACTTTAGAAGAAATACAGAGCCCTCCGCACCAGGCTTAACATGTGAAAAGTTAGCGCTTACCTTTAAATTTATTTACAAACCGTGAATAATAGGGCTTCATTCATCTCTCTCTTTAACAAATGACCTGACTCCTTTGTATAAATTATTTGCGTGTATATTATCTTTACATTCTGGGAGTATATGGATCCTTTTTAAGTGTCAGCACGCATGAAAGTGTACTCTGTCTATGGAGAATGGATGAAAGAGTTTTGAGGGTTCAAAAGTCCTTGCAAGTAGCAGAATAACTTCAAATAAAATATAGCCAGGATCATTAAAATCAGTTAATAATTCATGAACCAGCCACTGATGTATAAACTTAGTCATTTCTGTTTTCTAAGGGCTAATTTCCATTTTATTTTCAAGTGGAAAAATCTGTTTGAACAGTTCTTTTTCTGAGGTGGCCAACAAATTAAACTAACACACACACACTTATATATATTTTACAAAAAAAAACCCTATGGTACTCAAGTGAATTGCTGACCCATTATCATGTATCTGGAATTTTTCTTTCCCTGGGTTCTTTTTTTTTTTTTTTTTTTTAACCAGCAAGAAGATAATGTACAGCATGTTTATCAATTAGTGTGTAACTGACAGAAGTCTGCCACCCCAAAATAAGCTGTCGTATTTAATGTGTGTGTAAGGTGAAGTTACACAGTGGGTTAGCGGTGAACTTGGACTAAACTCTCGTCTAGCTTTTTCTGCCTATTCTTGGGGTTCCCCCCTTTCAAAATACAGCTATTCTTACCCTATGTCGAATAGTCCTGTGTTGTGTTTACCCTGAGCCCCCAGCCGGGCTTTCTAATTATTATGTGTGTTATTGATTACTCTGCTTAATTAAGATGTTCTGACAGGAGTGCTTTTGCTTTACCTCACTGGGCCTCTCTGTCGTGGTCAGCTTCAAGGGTAAGAGGACCTGAAAGGTCATTTGTCATTTGTCTATCTTCTTGGAGACTGTGGTTCAAATTGAGACCATATTGAGAAGGGGATTTGATCGAAACTCTTCTTAGGTTGGTGCCTTGTGAATTTGACATATGAGAACTAATGATTTCATTTCTAGGGTCTGGAGTGTGGGGGTGTCGAATCTTGAGAGCAGATGAGAGAGAGTTTTCAATATTTTCCCATGTCAGGTCCTCAAAGAAGAGATTGAAGCCACATTGTGAAAGCAAAATAAGATTTTTCTAAGGACCTCAGACCAGGGGTCATAAACTCAACTGTCTATGGGAACAGCCCGTTCCCCTCCAGGGAGACGGGGTTTGTGACCTAGGGACCGCGCGCTCCGTTGACAAGGGTAGCCTTGTCCAGCATTAGTAGAGTCTTGCCATGCAAACATTTGGGATCAGTCTGCACATTTTGTAATTATTTTTTCAAGAGAATGCTAGTTTGGATCTTTAGGTGAAATACTCAGAATTTTAAATGGTGTCAGGAAATTAACAAACTATTAAAACTGTCATATTTGCACCTCAAACATGCTGGGTATGGCTTTTTTTTGCCATTTTGTCTTAGACAAACTCATATGCAGGTGAGGATTCAAAATCATTTTTTCAGTAAGTCATTTGTGGTTTCCGTTCAACTGTTAGGACAGTTCTGCTCCCATGTCCTGCTGTGTGGGCAACCCAGTTAAGTGAGCGGAGGAAGTAGAAGCTGACCATTTCCAATGTCGTTCTCCTCTGGTCATTTGGACTCTATCGTTGGTTAAATGGTCTGGAGTCCATGGGGTCATTCTAGATCAGGGGTTGGCAAACCCTGGACCGTGGGTCACATCTAGCCTGTCACCTGTTCTCGAATGGCCTGTGAATGAAGAACGGTTTTTACATTTGTAAGCGGTTGAAAGTAGCCCAAAGAAGACTCACATTTTATGACTGTGAAACTCACATTTGTGTCCATAAATAAAGTTTTATTGGAACATGGCCCCACTTGTTTGTTTACATGTTTCCGTGGTCACTTCCAGTATATGGGAGCAGAGTCGAGTAGTTGTGACAGGCTGTATGGCCAACAAAGCCTGAAACATTGGCTCTTTTGCCTCTTTACAGGAAAAGTTTGCTGTCTCCTGTTCTAGGTAATGAGAGCACTTGATGGGTCGTCTTTGTTCCAAGCCTCGCAGGAGAAAGAGAATCTAGTTAAAAGATGGAATAACTGGGAAGATGACCGTCTCAGAGAACTGTTTTTCGAAAATGCTTCTAGAACAGTGGGTTCCCAGCGCTGGCTGTTCGTTAGCTGTGGCTGAGTGGGAAAGAGCTTCTTAAAAATACACTCATGCTCGGCCTCACCCTTCCCCAGGCCAGCCGAGTAAGACCCTTGTGGAATGGGACCCAGGCCGCGGTGGTTTTAAAGTTCCCCGCAGGTGG